GTGACCTCGATTACCGGGTACAAGCTCGCATACGGCCAGTCAGCCTGTCTGACTTGAGCGCAGAAGAGCTTGAGAGCAGGTTCAATGAGGAACTGTTCAGAATCACTGCAAGGTCAGCTATCATCAGATACATCTAGAGAGAAGCCTTACAACTCCTCCTTGTCGGCACCATCCTCATGCTAGCCAGGAAAGACATGAGTTTAGAAGACGAAGCCTTTGCTCGTACCCAGGATACAAGATTGCAGTGGTTACACGACATAGTCATAGCTAAGAGCGCGAGGACTGATGAGCAGAACAAATACCTCCAGGACGTTCGCGAGGGTCTAAGATGCGTTAGCTATATTTCCCAGACCAGTACAAGCATACTCACCAATTTGAAGGCTGGCTAAACTTCGTCTGTGTTGTCATCCATGAACTGGAATAGGTACAACCTAGTGGACGTCAACGATCGATACTTGTGGAGACACCATACACGGGAAGAGAGGCGGAAGTGGTGGGAAGGTTCCGTAAGGTCATGGTGACGGGTGGTGAACTTACGCGGTGGACGATCGATTCGGCGACTCGGACGGCTCGGGAGGTGACAACGAAGGAATCTGCTATTCCAGTGAGTAAGGTGCTGAGATTACGGCGGTGTTGGTCATGGCATACGTGGGCGCGCAACTGATGTGGTTGCCTTGGACGATAGAACCGCTGCTGCTGCTTGAGTAAGCAAGGCACTGGAGAGGTGGCGCTGTCAGGGATTGCATACAGCCATGGGTATTCGTAGCTGCTCAGTGGCAATTGTAATCGTAATCGTAATCGTAATCGTAATCGTGATGGCACCGGTGCTGCTACCGGAGTTAGCGGAGAACCAGGTCGATGACACACGTCTCCGTACCTTGCCCTTGTGACGAAGTGGTTGCTGTGATGCGCTCGATGATGCTGCTGCTGCTCGTGTCAGCTTAGTACGTTTCCTTTGACCTGATGAGAATTGCACACCTCGGTCTCTGGGTAGTGTCAGCAATGGCCATGACAATGAGTACATCCTGTCGCAGTGCAACTGTCTGGGTGGGTTAGCAGAGGCCGGGATCAATCCAGAACATGGGCACACACATGGCACCTTGTTGTGCGGGAGCGAAAAGTTGGTGTTTTGACGCTGGCTCTACACGGCGAGCAGTATCAGTATCCGTGCGTGACTCAAACGTGTATCGTCGGCACTCACTCAGGCTTGGCTGCTTGAAATTTCCTTGATCTGTCAAGAAACGTCAGCCAGAGCGTGCGGTGTTGACCAAGAAAGACCTACACCACTATGATATCATGCGATAACGCGATAACGCGATAACGCGATAACACGTGATATGGAAACACTGTAGGCCCCGTCCCTGAGG